ACTTCCACGTTTGCCTCAGGTGACGCATCCACGCTTGCCTCAGGTGACACTTCCATGCTCGTCTTGGGTAGGGCTTCCATGCTAGCCTCAGATGATGCTTCCATGCTTGCCTTGGGGAGGGCTTCCACACTAGCCTCAGGTGACCCGTCCACGCTTGCCTCAGATGACATTCCCATGCTTAACTTGGGGAGGGCTTCCACACTAGTCTTGGGGGATACTTCCACGCTAGCCTCAGGGGATGCTTCCACACTTGCCTCAGAAGATACTTCCACACTCACCTCGAGGGATGAGTCCATGCTCACTTCGGGGGACGGATCCACGCTCACCTCCAGGGACGAATCCACACTCACCTCAGGTGATTCCAAGCTCACCTCAGGCGATTCCACACTCTCAGGGGATGCTTCCACACTTGCCTCGGGGCTTGCTTCCATGCTTGCCTCTGAAGTTGCTTCCATGCTCGCCTTGGGGGGAGCTTCAACACTCGCTTCGGGGGGTGTTCCCGTGCTCACATCGAGGGGTGCTTCCACACTCACCTTAGGGGCCGCTTCCAAGCTTGTCTTAGGGAACACTTCCACGCTTGCCTTAGGGGGTGCTTCCAGGCTCACCTCAGAAGGTGTTTCTACATTCTCCTGGGAAGGAGTTGCTCCTGTTAACTTGGGAAGCACTATGGTATTCTTCAATTCATCACTGCTATGGCTATGCAAGGGCACGTGTATATACTGGATTAACGCATTGTGGACGCCTGTGGGTGAATGAGGACAAAGAGTGAAATTCCATACAGTTAGAAATTTGACAAGACAGAAACATACCGTGTATAAGAACAGGAAGAGAAAAGAGAGTTTATTAGGAAATCACAGGGATTATATACAACACAGAAGTATTTAGTGAAATGAATCACAGACACAGGAGAGAAGCATCCCAAAGTCAGTACTTCAAAAGCGCCACCACCAATAGGGAGGCATTGTGAAAGCAACAGTCCACTACAGATGAAAATAAGATGCTTCTCCAAAGTCGATGTTTGCAATAAGCCATTTCTGTTTTAACCACACTATAGTTCAGAACGATTTTCATGGAAAATTACAAGATCTTCAACACTTTTTAAAAGCAGTCTAAACAACTTCATCAGGGCCAGAGATCTTATCATTATAGGTGATTATAGAAGACACTCTACATATGATTGCTTTAGAAGAGAATGTAAAAAAGAGCATCTTCTCACCCATATTAAAAATTGCAATAAGACATTAATCAGAATGAGCTGGATCTCCAAGGTCTCTCCCAGCTTTAACAATCTAAATATTTTTTTCCTGACAAATGGACAAAAATGATAATACTCAGTACTAGCTAAGATGGAAGAAAGTGACAATACCAATGTTGGGAACCAGGCAACCTCATACACTGCTGGTGGGAGTGTGAATTTATATACGCTCCCTGGGGGGCATTTGGGCAATAATGCATCAAAAGCCATTTTAAAAAGTACATACTCTTTGTTCCAACAATTTCACTTCAGGTTTATCCTTAGGAAAAAATGAGATAAATAAATGAAGATGTATGTACAAGGTTACTTATTACAGCATTGTTCATAATATTGAAACAATTGAAAATATAATTCAAATATTCAACAGGAAATTTGGACTACACTAAGGTAGTCATTAAGAGTAATAATATGTAATTTGGGGGCACAGAAAATGGTATATATTGAGTTTAAACCAAAGCAGGTTTTGACCCCATTTTGTGAAAAAAATACATAAATGCAAAGAAAAATATTCAGTTATCAGTGAGTATTGGGATAATAGGGAATTATATTTAAAAAAATTTTTTTTTTAAAGATTTTATTTATTTATTTATTTTCCCCCCAAAGCCCCAGTAGACAGTTGTATGTCATAGCTGCACATCCTTCTAGTTGCTGTATGTGGGACGCGGCTTCAGCATGGCCGGAGAAGCGGTGCGTTGGTGCGTGCCTGGGATCCAAACCCGGCCCGCCAGCAGCGGAGCGCGCGCACTTAACCGCTAAGCCACGGGGCCAGCCCTAAAAATTTTTTTATACTAAATATTTATTGCTTGTATGATAAAGAAAATAAACATTATTAAAAAGGTATCTGGTGGTGGCTTTCTTAAGACTTGATAAATCTGTCACTTCATTTTAAATACGGATGGTGGGCCGGTCCAGTGGCTTAGAGGTTAAGTGCACGCGCTCCGCTGCTGGCAGCCCGGGTTCGGATCCTGGGCGCGCACTGACGCACCGCTTGTCCGGCCATGCTCAGGCTGCATCCCATATACAGCAACTAGAAGGATGTGCAACTATGACATACAACTATCTACTGGGGCTTTGGGGAAAAAAAGGGAGGAGGATTGGCAATAGATGTTAGCTCAGAGCCGGTCTTCCTCAGCAAAAAGAGGAGGATTAGCATGGATGTTAGCTCAGGGCTGATCTTCCTCACAAAAAATAAATAAATAAATAAATAAATAAATAAATAAATAAGGGTGGTAAATATTTACATGATCTCATCAAATAATTAAAATAGAACAAATTACCAGAGACTGACTACTTATGGATAAAAAAATTTGACTAAATTAAATGTTATTTTTCAGTCCCTCACTTTTGGTGGAGAAAGCATTTTATTTACATATCTGCATGTGCCTAAACAGTCACATTATTTAACACCAACAATTTGTTCTACAGGAAATATAGTAAGTATAATAACTAGATTTCTATGAGCTATAGAAATTTAAGACAAAATATTGAATTTTTTTATAGGAGTAATATATTAAGCTAAAATGAAAGTAATTAGAAATATCTTACAATAGATTGGGGGGAGACTGGCAGAAAATAATCTGACATATATACAACTGGGTATAAACAAAGTCAGGAATTTGAACCAAAAAAAGTAAGGCTGCCTACCAGAAAGTCTGTGACAGCATTTTGAGTTATTTTACTAATCATATGACTATTGACAGAAAAAAAGCCAAGGGGGTAGGATATATTCTGGAAAGGAAAAAGTGGAGGAAAAGAATAAGGGGAATAATGCATTAGAGCTCTCCATTATTGACTTCTTACTATCCACCAGTGTATCTAACATTCTATAAGCTCTAAATGAGAAAATCCATATAACCCTAAAGATTTGTTTTATTTTACTAACAATCTTTATGTTCTTAATTAAAAGCTTAAGTGCAGGGGGCCGGCTGGGTAGTGCAAGCAGTTAAGTGCACGCACTCCACTGCGGCAGCCCGGGGTTCGCTGGTTCAGATCCCGGGCGCGCACCGACACACTGCTTGGCAAGCCGTGCTGTGGCGGCGTCCCATATAAAGTGGAGGAAGATGGGCACGGATGTTAGCCCAGGGCCAGTCTTCCTCAGCAAAAAAAGAGGAGGATTGGCAGTTGTTAGCACAGGGCTGATCTCCTCACAAAAAAAAAAAAAAAAAAAAAAAAAAGCTTAAGAGCAGCTCAATGTTATTCTTCCATATTTTAGGAAAAAAAGGAGAGTGGAGTAAGAAGCTTTCTCCCTTGATATTACTTAGGTTTTCCTATACTTTTAAAATCCAGTACTTTTTACAGTACTGTGACACATTTAAGCATAGGTCAAGAAACCCAGAGAGCCTCAAAATTTAACAACAGCCAAAATTACCTCCTTATCCTATAAATTACCTATTACCCAGATAACTACTCTATCATACTAAAAGTCATTAAATACACAACATAAAATGTTGAGTAGAATCACTCATTTGGGAACTATTGATTCGAATTCTTTTTATGCCTTACTGCAATGAATTAAGTGATGCAACCTATTTTTTAAGTGCAGATACTAACCCTTTCAGGCTTTCTACCCTATGCCTGTTACCTGGAGTATCTTTTCCAGGGATTGATAATGAAGCAGCACTTTTGCTCCTGGCTATTGATGCTTTTGTTGGGGCGAGCAGGCGTGTGATTAAATTATTCTCCCGAACATTGGTGTACAGCTGACGAGCTAAATCATGAGAACAAACAAAAAGGATTCAATTTGAAGTCTCACAAATAAATGCAAAGCAAGAAAGAGCAATGTGAACTGCTGCAAATAACTTTCCCAGCCTAAAAGTAGAGGCAATGAGAGCAACACATACATAATAGGATTGAACACTGCCACCTGACTGAACGGCATTGTCGGGAAGAGAGTACCTGAATCAAGGGGCAAAGGCCCTAGCATCCCACAAGAACCCCAGTGAAGGAGTCTAGGCGATATATTTAACAGAACCATACCCAATGTATGGCGTCTCTACGGAGCAGCTCACATATGGAGGAAAAAGCTGTATAGGCCGAAACAACTTGGACGTGGATTCCCACAGATATCTGCCACTGAGAGTCATACCAGTCAAGTCTATTGCCAAAAGCTGCAAGGGATTGACTGAATTCTTTTGTTCAAAGTGAATCTTGTTATAGATATCTTGCTCCAATAAATTTTTATGTTCAGAAAGGTCCCTGTGACAATGGCATTTGTTATAATAGGATTTGACCTGAATCAATTAAGTGGAGAGTCTTCTGTAAGTGAATGGTTCGGTAGGAAACAAAAAGCAACAATCATGTTTGACAGGGAAGAGTTACGGGGGAAGGCATTAGAAAGAAACTACTTTAAATAAAGCACTTTGGTAATAATTATGAAATTTTGTGTGCAATAATCAGCAGTGAAAACATGCACAAAGCATAGATGTAGGTAATGCTATGAAGCAACAGAGCAAAGCTTCGAAGCTCAAAGTGTGGCCAGTAATTTAGAACTTCAAAATGCAAACTGATGAAATGTGTGAAGGGAATCGAGTCCTGCAGTACAAATCTATCTATAGCAGCATCTGTGATCTAGTTCCTCAACTTCATTATAGACCCCTTGCTCAGATGATGGCAGAATGATAGATTTCATTTAAAGACAGACTCTTCTGGCTTCAGCCAAATGAACATGGCACCAAAGTACATTTTTGAGTTAAAGAAGGGATTATTTTGGCTTCCAATTTTAGGAATGACTTTTCAAGCAACTGAACGTCAACATGAACACATCTCTTTTAAACCATTATTTAAGATTGGTACTTAGAAATAACTAACCAACTGGTTTTTCTTCTACTTGTTCTGTTTCTGTAGATGAATTTACTTTGCTATCTCTTCTATTCAAGGATGAGCTTCTCCTCTTTTCTGTTTTTTCTGCAGATCAAGGGCAAAGAAATATTATTTTTTACAAACTGTTTAAATATATTATTTCAGGAGTAATCCACTCCTTTTTACAAACATTTTTTTTTATCTTCTTTACTCTTGCTTATATAAGAATTTATTTAAATTTCAAATATTATGTAGAGACTCCACGTCCCCAAACTTAAAAACTAGTTTACTCTTTAAGTTACCTGAAATGAAATAAAATTATTTAGAAAACGGTAAAAATTAAGAGGGAAAATGTCTGATACTACCTGACAACATCCAAGTTCATTAGAAATATACAACTTTTAATTCTGGACACAATCCATGACATCTATTAGTAAAGTAATTTATACTTTAGTTATAACTAGTATTTTTTTAAACAAAAATGATCATTAGCATTTGGTATAGACATCACAATTTTAGCAACTCAAACTATTCATAAAGAAAAATAATCTGTTTTGTGTAGATACTTTTCCATTTCCCCTGAAATATTCTGACTCAGAATACTGAGGAATGTATTTAAAAAATAACTTCTCTTTTGGGGATCTGTAAATTACAGTACATATTGACAATACAGCGTCATTTGAAAATTCTTGAATTGATAATGTAATTGAGCAACATGAACCACAGAGGTGTAATCAATTCAATCATGTGATTATATCACATATCCTTTATTATCATACTGCAAGAAATGACAAAATAGTGTGAATGGTTATTATGAGTCAGCAGTGAGCAGAAGAAAAACAGACTATTTGAATCAGTCAAGATTTTTTTCTTTCTTTCTTTCTTTTTTTTTTTTTTTGCTGAGGAAGATTCGCCCTCAGCTAACATCTGTGCCAATCTTCCTCTATTTTGTATGTGGGCTGCCACCACAGCATGGCCACTGACGAGTGGTGTAGGTCAGTGCCCACGAACTGAACCCAGGCCGCCAAAGTGGAGTGTGCCAAACTTAACCACCAGGCCACAAGGCCTGCCCCTGAATCAGCCAAGATTTAAAACAGGGCTATTTAAAATATTACGGGTTAGATTATGAACTTCATTTGAGTTTGAAATGTTCATCTCTCTGGATTGAACAGGTTTCATTTCAATTTGAAGGGATTTTAAAAAGGTAAGCCACTGCCAATATTGATTTTATTTTCCCTGGAATCACTAATTACAGCATTCATCATTTTAGAGTGTGCAACATACTGTACCTTTGAGCAAGTTATTTCACAAAGTGTTTTCCACACAAACCTCCTTATATTAAAAACCAGTAATGAAATCATTTAAAAAGTTTCTTGGAACTGCTCCTTCAGTGCAATTTCACTAATTATTACCTTGCAAGTCATCACCTGTCCCTTCTCTTTATATGTCTAATTAATATGGCAAGTAGACATATTAACAAAAGCATACTAGTGTTTGCTCATTTTATTGAAAATGTAATAAATGTCTGTGGAAGAAATCTTTGCTAATTCCTCAAAGCAATTAGATAGGAAAACGTAGTCAATACTTGTAAAACAATTAAGATATATTAAAATGTAAACATGACATTGCAATGAATGTTATCTAATTTTTCTAAAGGGTTGAGTTGGTAAAAAATCAATTAGCTTTATCACATGTCAAGCATGGTGCTAGAGAAAAATGTTCCCACAGTAATCTGTGAATGAACCCGGGCTATACATAAAAGTGCTTTGGGAAAGCATATTGAGGGTGGGGGTGGTAAGTGGATCAACTTTCGTTAAAACATCAGAAGAGCAAATGTTTTGCACCCAGACTGACAAATAACAAAAGACCTCTCAAGCTCCTGGCTGGAAATTGTAAGAGTCCTGAAAGTACAAATAACACATAATGTAAGTGTGAACAAAACAAAAATCCTTTAACATATTAAAGTTATAATGTTTAGGCAAAAATGGAAATCCTTCCCATGAAGTTAACCACTGCTACAATTAATTATGCTTTAAATGAGATCCAGAATCTCTTGCTTTACTGGAATTTTATAGCAATCACATTGCTCAAAAAAATGTCAAAGCCCCTAAACAATACAAAAGAAACATTTTTAAATTCCAACTATAATTATGCCTTTTTTTCAATTCACAAGGCACAAAAGTGGTATTTTTTCTTTTTTAATGGCTAAGTTTGAGGGAATGATGTGCAATATGTTTGCCATGTCTTTTTCCTGCTAAGATCAATACTGTTTTTTCCTTTGGAAAGAAAAAAATATTTTTTTCTTGATTGATGAGTATGGTTGACTAATTCATTTCAATTATCAGTGAGAAGCACCATGTGCTACAAGCCAGAAGTGGTCACTGACACACACTCAGGTAAAGATTTTTTTTAATAAGGAACACTAATTAAAATGGCAAACACCAGGAGCAAAAGGTATTTGAAGTATCCACAGAAGATAACTCTGTTTTATTTTAAAGAAGACTGCATTACCACTACAAAGAGTTATAAAAAGTGGAGCTTAGCGATACTTCTCTCATTAAACAGTTATCACTTTATTTGCTTTGGGGGAAAACATGGACTTCTTAGTGAAATGTACCATTTAAATATCATGATCCATCTAACAAATGACCAAAATATAAATCAAAAAAGCATGGTAAAATGGAAATCATTGAATTTCGTGGGGTCTTAACTATAAAACTAGGAAGGTAACTATACTTGCCTGCCAACTTTACAAGGTTGTTGTGAATAACAAATATGACATATGTGAAGCAGATCAACCTGGCCACTGCTATATATAGGCTATTATTTTCCTTAAATTAGGTAATATTCATGAAACTTAATGGAAATTGAATGACTAGTCTAACTAGTCCCTAAAGAAAACAATTTCATTTATAGGTCACATAGAATATGAATTTTAAAATAAATTATTGTGTCACTTAATGGTAATGCCTTTTGGTGAAAATATGCTTCAGTTTGGACTACCTGAGCCCAAAAAACCCATCTGATATGATTAATACACAAATCACAAAACACAGATTTATACTGATGAAAATACAAAACAGTAATGATCATTTCTATCTACTGTAAAACAATGTGGTGTTCTTTTGAAATAAATCTAAATGTTCCACAACCTAAATAAGTGGTATTGTAAAAATCCGTAGAAAGAATTGATTTCATTGGTTTGAAATTCAGTAGAATACATGAAATAACTACTTACTCTTGACAACAGAATTTTGAAGACCTGCAGATGATGTAGACATTTGTTTGTGTAAACCGGAAGTCTCCTGTTCAAGTTTTTCAGTAGATATAGAACGTCTATTGGCTGAGAAAAGATAGAGTATTTACTCATATTTAAAGAAAGTATCATTAGCTAAAACAAAATGAGTTTGTGATGTAGTTCTATGGCACGTAAACGTGCATTTATTAGGTACACAATGTTCATTATCAGTCATGCCTTACAAACTATATAAATTCAATTTATGTTGTATGAAATTGTGTAGAATTATGTCCATACATAGGAAAATTTACAGTACATCAACAGTAAACAGGGCAGGCAATTTATTTTTAAAATATGCATTAGATAAAGCTGTGTAAAGAGTATTAATTAATTATTAATCTTTCTTATACTGATTACAAGTTTATTCTATTTTATTTTGTGAGGAAGATCAGCCCTGAGCTAACATCCATGCTAATCCTCCTCTTTTTGCTGAGGAAGATCAGCTCTGAGCTAACATCTATTGCCAATCCTCCTCCTTTTTTTTTCCCCCGAAAGCCCCAGTAGATAGTTGTGTGTCATAGTTGCACATCCTTCTAGTTGCTGTATGTGGGACGCAGCCTCAGCATGGCCGGAGAAGCAGTGCATCGGTGCACACCCGGGATCCGAACCTGGGCCACCAGTAGCGGAGCGCACGCACTTAACCGCTAAGCCATGGGGCCGGCCCTGATTACAAGTTTAAATGGTAAGATTTTGGATATACTGGACAAAATTATAAAATGTCATCTGTTTCTTTTGCAATGTCACATGACACAAATTTAAATATAAATTGACTGTGCCCAAAGAATACACGGCAGCATTTTCATTTAGGATACAAAGCTCAAAACCTTGTCGTAAATGCAACCTTATACTAAGAGCCAATATTTAACTACGAACATGAATGAACTTGAAGTTTAACAGTTGTATTAATTACCAGTTTTACTCTCAGAGTTTACTGTCATAGGCCCTTCCCATGACCATCTTTTTTGACGATGATCGACACGGTTGCTCCGTTCCAACGTGCGATAAAGAACGGCTCTGAATTTCTCCTATTTAAAATAAATGCCAACAAATTTTTACACGTTCATTATATTGGTTAGTATAATTTTGATCTGTGGTTATAAAACAACCCCATCACCACATTTTTGTATCAGGTAAAAGTTAGAAAATAATTGGAGACATGGCTCAAGTATCAATCAATATCAGTGCTTCTCCTGAATAACTTAGGTTTTAATCTTATGGATCTGAATTAAGGAACTGATCACGCTTCCCTCTTTGCTTATATCACTAGGAAGTTCAGGACCAAATTTGTAGCCTATTTCTAGCAGTTATTCCAAGACTGAGTGGTATACTTTTGTGTATGCTAATCATACCTTATATGTTATTATTTTCCTACTTTAATTTTCCCCTCTGCTTGATTCCCTCAACCATTTATCTTATCATCTGGTTGTGGCAAATGTTTTTTAAAATACACCTTAAATTCTTTGTAGAATGAGGCAGGAAAAAAATCAACTAACACATCTAAGTGAAATCGATGCCAGAGTTACCTATTATACCCACAATGTAACATCTGGAATTCTGGTGTTAACTAATAAAGTTTTAAAAAAGATAATCAATGTGTTTGTCTTAACCTCAACTTCAATTTAAACTGCTCGGGATGACAGCTATACAAATGTAAATGCCATACAGTGGCAGAACAACTCCACTGTCATAAATGAGTGGCACAGTTTTCTTTTTGAAGATATTTCTCAGCCCTGCGCTACAACAAACCATGGACTAGATCAGCTCAGCAAATCAATTTCAGGGCCAGAAGGTTTTCTCTTCTTTCCTGACAACAACCATTTCATAGCAACATCACCCTTACAGTGTCCCCACCATTTCTCTGAGGGCAAAGAGGGTAAACATACTGGAAAGGTGGGGTAAACATACTGGAAAGGTGGAGAGTTGTCCATATCATCTGAGAAGAAAAGCAACTGTAATTCTCCAAATAAAATGTATTTAATGGCAATAGTTTAAAATTATATTTTCTAACAGAAAGTAAGTTGTTCTAAATTACTTAGAAACCCAGAAAGTATAATAAATACTAAAAACAGAGATGAATCTTGTCTTGTTAAAGCATTTCTGATTCATAAGAATTCCATCCTGCTGTCTCCAAATGCACTGAACCTCTGTGCTCTGTCAGGTTCCTTCTTGCATCTGTGGCTCATTCGTAAGCTCCTGTCCTAGCTCAGATCTATCTCCTGTCCACACTTGCCCCTCCTCAGCACCACCGAGTTTGGGGTTTTTTCCCTGCTCTACGGAATTATTCTTTTTTTCTATGTGCAGCCTACTTACAGTGCCCCATGGTCCCTGCTCTGTCTGAGGCTCCCCCACACTAGCTCTCTGGGGTTGATTCCCTTTTGCCTTCGCTCCTCGTCTTTCTGCCTCTTCTCCTACCACGTCTCTGGCTCCCTGTCTGTCTGCAGGTCATTTTGTTGCATTCTCTTCTTTTCTCTGTGTTGGCTCTCTCAGGCTCCTCTTTCTGTAAGATGGTCTTTTTTCTCAGTCCCTGGGACTGCCTCTCTCCTCCAGCAACCCTCCCCCACTCTGCACACACAGTTTTCTATTTTACTTTCTTTGGTTCTTTGTCTTTACTCAGTGAATTCTCTCTCTCTGGCCTTCATTCTCTTTACCACAGTTAAGTACAGTAAGAAAATGTTTCCCAGGGGAAGACAGAGAATAACAGAAATTCTGAATGAGAGTCCATCAAATACTGGAATGTGAAAAAAGCGTATAAACAACCACAGCAAAAGGTTCGGAAAGACAGAGAGAAAGTGGCAGTGGACCATGGATGGGGAAGAAATGGCATGACAACAGTCCTAGAACAAGGAAGATCCCCATATGGGAGCAGGGGATGGGGGTGAAGCATGTGCGAGAGCAACCATGTGCACAAGTATCTGTGTGCACAAGTTAACTGTGTGCACAAGTAAGGAGGAAATGTGAGCACAACAGAGAAAGACATAGAGAAGGCGGTTCATGGGGACAAATGGAACCAAAGAGAAAAGGAGAGAAAAAGAAATTTAAAAATTAGAGCAACAGAAAAAGAGAGGGAGATAAAAACACACACAGTGAGAGAACAACAGGCAGAAAGTCCAAAGATGTGGAGAGAGAAACAGAGAAGCTAAGACAAAGAGAGCAGAAAGAAAAGTGAGGTGCCTCAGGCAGAAAAGAGCCAGAGTCAGAAAGAACCAGAAGATAGAATGAGACTTATTTAGGGACACTTGAGAGTCACTGAAATAAAGAAAAAGAGAGAATGCCAGTAAGAAAGAGAATAATGTCACAGAGAACATGCCAGACTCAGAAGAAGGAGTCAAGGATACTCAGGATAAAGCAGTGGAATGACCTACAGAGAAGGTGCCAGAGAGAATCATACAGAATGAGACAGGTAGCCAGATGCCCAAGTATAAACAAAAAAAGACAGACTGAAGAGGGACAGAAGGGAAAGAGAGGGCCTAACAAAGGCAGTGACTCATAACAACAGAGTGTCAAAAGACACCAAAAGAGTCCAGAAAGGAAAAGAGAGCAGCAGGACCACAAAACAACAGAGAAAGAAAGGGAATGTGAGGAACACGAGGGAGAGAGCAAGCGCACACAGGAGGGAGCCAGGGGATTACGTCAGGGAGCGAGTGTGCGGATCTGGTCGGTTGGGAGTCAGTCACACAATCAGAGGAGTTGTGAGAAGTACCCAGTCAGATGAGGGCCTATCACAGAAGGCCTGAAGGTGGGTCTGTGAATTCCAGGCAATGGGACAACACCTAATGCTTTTTGGTAGGACAGAGAGCCACTCAGAGCAAACCCCGGGCCACAGGCCCCCTGCGTGCCAAGCCCTGAGGGTGGAGAGGGCTCTCTTCTTGGACCTGCAAGGATTCTCTTGACCTCACTACTGGGCCAAAACTCAGGGATCTGATCAGGACAGGGGCAAGAGCCTCTAACGTGGAAGGGAAGAAGAAAGGAAGAATTGGGATTTGGTTCCCTTTCCACAGGATGGACCAGTAAAGGCAGAGAAGGGCTAAGAAACAAGTATTCTAGACCCAGGCAATATTGTATCATCTGATTAACGGACTAGAAAGATACGTACCCTTTCTTCCTGTAATTTTTGTTTTCTTTTTTCTTCTGCGGATATTCTCCGCTGTTCATCCTTTTCTTTTTGTTCTCTCAGCTTCCGCTGTTTCTCTTCCATTTGTTTTTCATATTGGATCTTGGACTTTCTTTCTTTTTCAAGTAGTTGCATTTCTTTATTAGCTGAAATATTCCAAATATAAGATGTAAGAGCCAAGAAAACATTTAAGTTTTCCGCATTACACATAGAGGAGGAAAAAGTTGATATAGCTCATTCTCTTTCTTAAAAATAATATAACCTGTGCTAATAACTAAAGATTTATTATATAAGTGAACAGAGATGGCCACCAAAGAATCATTTTCACTGGGTGTTCATTTAACTCCAGAGAACTGAATTGGCTTAGATGACTCTCATCCTGTCTGAACTAAAATTCCAAATTAAGAAGAAATATTTTCTTTCATGCAATGTTTCTGCTGATTTGAGGTGAGGTCAAACCCCACTAGATTAACATGCTGTACATTAAAATAAGACTTAAAAAAACCACATGGCCAGAATATATGTTTCTTTCCCCTTCTAGTAGGAAACTTCTTTCAAGGGTCTCATCTATACAGCCCATTATTAAGCATGCCAGTTAGTGGGCTTAGTCACATACCACATTACCAAACAGCTTGATGTTTTCCTATATACAAATTGCCCCTCACTAAAGCCTGGAGAGTATCTATGCAGTTGTAAAATACTCTCCTAAAGAGCTACAGGAAGAAACAGCTCCTCACCAAAACAAACATAATGATTTTCCATTTGAATGCAGTTGAGCACTAGTTTTGTCAGTGGATTTACAAGACCAGAGGAGAAAAATACATAGTTGCAAAAGCATCCTCTCAAGGTGCAGAGATTATTCTTTTAGATCCTTATTGATAAAGTTACACTTGAGAAGCACAGCAGGGAAACATAATGCATCTATGTTAAGATTATTAGCAACTTCACTTCCATTTTTAGAATCATTTTTACTGAAATCCCATTTTGTTTGTTTCCACAAATGTTGAAGTTTTCATACCTTAGTTTTCAGAAAATTAAAGCTAATAAATACTACTTCAAAAATTAAACAATTTAATCAAATATTTTTCACGGGCGTTCTTTATCTGATTTAGTATAAGCATTTAATCCAATATAATACATACTATAATAAGTATCATCTAGCACATAAACAGATTAGGAAAAGTAAGTAAAACCACTTTGGAAATATACAACCTTAACATAAAATTAATTCATTTTGATTTTTAAAAAAATGTCTAAAACATACCATCTTGCTGTCTTTTCTTCTCCTCCCTGCGCTCTTTTGCTAACCTTTGTTTCATATCATTTTTAAGGACAGATCCATCTATCACTAAAAAAAAAACAAAGAATATAGTCAGACATTAATAGGATATCAAATTTTAATGACAATTTGACATCTATCAACACATTCTAGAAGTTATACCTGGCTTAAATGCTGATCTTATATTTGAGGATTGGGATGGAAAAGAGCTGAAGCCACTCTGACTCCGTCTTTCTTCAGCAATGGCATGAGCAGCAGCAACTAAAATACAGGGAGATAAAGAAAAGGGATTCAATATTAAGAATATAAACCGCTAATACAGGGGGGCGGCAAAGCAGAGACAGTGTATCTTTGACGATAAAGGACAGCATCTCTTCTACAAGGCAAAATAATGACAGATTAATCTGGGTCAACGACAAGGACATACTGAGTACCTACGATGTTCAACAATAACTTAACAAAGAATGAAAAGCGTTTACTATGGATGTGCCAGCATATTTGCGGACATAAAGAGAGAGTTGTTAGTGGGCGCAAGCTTGTGGATGAGTAGGAGCTAATGATGAAGCTTTCAAAAATGCCTCAGACAAGACATTACACCAAGTACTAGAAAAACTGAGCTGGCAAGGAATTGGAAAAAATGTTTCACCATAAATTGGGAATTTAGTAAAGCAAAGATTTGGAGTTTATGGATCTGAATTTGGAAGCAAAAGTGTCAACACTGAGATCCTCAAAGATTGGGCCCAATATTAATGAGGACATTTATAAATTACCCAGATCAGGGGCTTTCTACCCTGGCGGCATACTGGAGTCACCTAACGTTGCTTTAAAAAAATTAGCAATGCCTGTCCCTCCCCGCCCCCACTCTCTGCGGGTGGAGACCAGGCGGTCTGCAGTTGCTAAAAGCTCTATTCCGATGCCAAGTGAAGGCAGAAAACCACTCAAGGAGTTTCCAATGAGATGGGATTAGTCTAGGTAGAAAAATGTCAAGCAAACAAATATAAATTATACAATATAAATTTACACAGGTCTTGTGTAACCAGGCAGAAAAGAGGTAAATAAACTTCAATAAGGGTCAAATATAAGATTGGGGAACACAATTTGATGGAAAGTAAGAAAAACTAAAATTCCAGGATGATATATGATATGATATATATATGCTGATATATCATATGATATATATGATATGATAACATACAACTTATTACAGGGGATTCCCTGAATCCTTTAATTCCAAGTATGGCTGTATCTAAAATGCCCCCACAATACTGGGCATCTTCAGGAAGGATCTGGAGAATAACACTGAAAACTCTCTTCTACTCCTGTATAAAAGCACAGGAAATATGCCCCTGCAATACTGCATACAATTCTGGTTTCTATATATTAAGAAAAACATAACAGTTAAAGACGAGTAATTAAAATAATTAAGGGAAGAGAGGAGCTGTTGTACTCATAGAATGAATGGAGTCTGGATGTTAGTTGCTACTGAGGAAAGATATCCGGGAGTCATGTTACAGAGTAACCTTGACAGTGATGTCACAATTGCTGCCATAAGGTTCGCCACTTCAAAAGGGAAAAAGGATTTTTTTTTTTACCCCAGAGACCTAACACCTCAGATAATCCATGACCTAGCTAAATTTGAAGATTAGACTCTTCTCAGCCTCCTTAAAAATTCAACTACCGGCAATTTTGTGGACCCCCAATTATCCTCTGAATTTGAGTACCAGTGTATTAAGAAAAATTCTTAAATATACTCTCTAAATTAATTAAGCCCTCTTACATATGCCCCTCCCACTCGCAACATTTCTATGTGAGCACAGAGAAAACAACAGTTGTTTTTGCACATTCGGTTTAATGAGGTAATAATATCAGATTCGATTTTTTTTGACTTTTATATCCAAATTCTTACTGGCCAGAAATACACTAACCAGAAGGACAGGTTCTAAAAATGATTTAAGTTGCCCAGGGAACGGGAGAAAGCCCTTATGTCTGAACCTAACAGAGTGAACATTTTATTCAACTCCATTGAATGAGGGAATTTACTTACCATTCATTTGCAAGTAAGAGTAAGGTGCAGTAAGTATACTACAGTATTTCTGTAGTTCTTCTACTAATTCTAAATCCCAAATTAAATTTAAAAGTTACCTTTTGCCTGGAGATTAAATAAGAAAATGTGTAGAGTTTATTACTAAAACTGAATTATGAATCTTCATCTGTATTTACAGTACTTTCCTAAAAACTGCCATAACAAATAATATGTATCACTTCACCATTTACAAAGTTCGTTTCATTTGTATTACCTCATTAAATTCTCATAACAATCCTAGAGTGGATATCATTATCCCCTCCCCCATTTTTTTTACAAATGAGAAAACTGAACATAACTTTCCCAGATCACACAGGTAATAACTGGTGAAGCCAGAACTTGATTCAACTGTAGATTAAGAAGCAACTTTATTTTGAAATATTACATAATCATCAAGAACCAGACTGTACAAAACCCATATTAACCTTTTTTTTAAACATTGTTTTTCCTTGAGATGAGTTCTCTTTTTTTTTTATAATTTTATTTATTTATTTTTCCCCCCAAAGCCCCAGTAGATAGTTGTATGTCATAGCTGCACATCCTTCTAGTTGCTCTACGTGGGACGCGGCCTCAGCATGGCCGGAGAAGCGGTGCGTCGGTGCGCGCCCGGGATCCTAACCCGGGCCGCCAGCAGCAGAGCACGAGCACTTAACCGCTAAGCCACGGGGCCGGCCCCACATTAATCTTTATATGACTTAATTCATTATTCTCACCTCAGCTACTTCTAAGGTTACTTGTGTTTAAAATATCACAAAGAAGGAATCAAGATCTAAATGTATAAAGTTGATTCAACAATAAATAAATGAAACATATGGGTTTTGGTTTAAAATATACTTTGAAAATACAGCAATGTAAAGATTTTAAAATAAAGCATTTACCTTTTTTTTTTAAGACAGCACTATTATGCTGTGGCTAAGAAAGGTCTATGTTTAGAGAAAATGTGTGAAAGACATTATAAGAAGAAAACCATTCTCATCCTTTGAGGGGAAAACTTACAAATTCCATCATCCTGGTTATCTAGCCCAATAAAAGCCTCATAATGAAATGAACCAAAAGTAGGGGCCACTAGGATGTCCAAGCTAAAGAATGCTTTACATTTAATAGATTTTCTAAAAGATGTCACTGAAATTTTGAGGCTCCTTTTGGACATAAAGCATTTTAGCTCATTACTGACTTTAATATAGTGGAAAATTTCTGCTTCTCTCCCGGACCCCTCCTTCCTCAACACACACACACACACATACACACACACGCACACGACCTGTGTCACCAGAGCTCTGCTCCAGTAGGGCCAGCTAAATGCAAGAAAGGAAGAACACTTCTCCATGACAACTAGTTCAAGAATGGTAATAATCTTCCTAAGGCTGCACCCCAGCACAATCTCCCCCAAATGCTTCATCTCATGAGATGTCAATGATAAATACTCTTCCCAATACTATTCAGCAATTTTATATTGTCTGCCACAGCTGTTGCTCTTGAACTCACTCAGAATTCAACATAAAATCTGTAGCCCCACCTCTCCATGATCTTTCCTCCCCAAGATCCTTTCTTCTGTACTCAGAAATATTAGATCACATAAACTAGTATTTTTATTAGGTAGCAAAGGGTGTAGATTGCAAAAAATGATTGAAAGGTTTTATTATTATAAAAAGGGCTACAGTTGTGGCAGAGATCATACTAAGAAACTAACTGTGACAGATTAATAGATTTAGTGCTATTCACTGTTATTTGGATAACAGAATAGAAAGAAGCAATTGCCAGCAAGTCCTATCTTGAGTGGCTGGATGTAGTGCTGCAAAGTGCCCGCTGGGGGGTCTAGCAGTCGACTCTCTTCCTGCAGCCCAGTCTCTGACCTTTCCCACAGCTGCTGGCCCTGTCCTGGATCCACCCTCATTCAAAGAAAAGCAGTTGGGAGTGGTGTGATCCCCGGCAGATCCATTCCACCCATACCAAGGATCTCTCTTCATGGCCTTATGACAGAGCACACGTCATTAGGCCAGGGAGAGGGTGAGAAAATATTAAGGAAAAATAGGAAACCAAAGAAATCTGCAATCAGGGAACCACAAAAATATGGCAGATGCACCGAGTTTTGCCAAAAAAGCAACAGTCATAGGGCTGAAAGTTCTGGAAGACCCCTAAATTCAACCCAAAGATAGCATGTCTTGAAGAAAATCAGAGACACTTTCCTACCATTTAGAGCCGTCTATAATGGAATGGCTACTTGGAAAAACACGAAGCTCCCCATTAGAGTACACATTCCAGTTGTAGAAGCTGCCCAGGATTTTACAGCTGGGCCTCTGGATGCTGGACTCAATAATCTTAGGGTTTCTCCAGCTCTAAAAATGCTATGATGATCTGCCTGGCAGTCTTAGTACCTTTTTCTGCGTTTGTAGAAAGTATTATTTTAATAATTTATTTTCAACTGAGAAATCATTTGCGAATTTAGAAAAACAAGAAGGGAAAGGTGACGAGTCGGGCCAAGTTTCTTATGCTCGTCTGGTTCAAACAGTCACATAAATTTTTATTTTACAACAATTCTGTATAAAAATATGAAACGTGTTTTGTTAAAATAAGTGTATTTCCTTGGTATACTACAATCTTAGCACAGCGCCATGCACAGAAAACATAACTCAATAAATGTATATAATAAATATATGTAGACTGTACTGTGTGCCTAAAGAAGTTACTTGTCCAGGATAGTGTTTTAACTCTTGCAGCCAGACTCCCAGGAGACGAAATTGACCAGACTAATAGATTTAGAGCTACTCACTGTTATTTGGATAACAGAATAAAAAGAAGCAATTGGCACAAAGTGGCAAAACATTTCATTGACTCCTTGCCCCCTTCAGGAAAAGGCTGAGACCGTGAGGGCAGTTCTAGTCCAGCTGGTGCTCTGTGAAAGCCGAACATGTGACATTTTCAATTCCTAACATGAAATGGGTAGCAGGGACGTCAAGTAGGGTTCTGGATTAAGCCTTTTGTGCATGGCTTTAAGTTTTTGGTTTGAAATACTGTGCATTCAAGCAGCTATCCCATACAAAAATTTGACATACTTTTCAACATTCAATATACAAATGCTTTTGGGGGTTATGCAGAATGCTGGTTAATTTAAACCACTGAAATAAACCAAAGTCAGAGAGCCTTAGGCGTCAATGAGCAATAAAACGATCTGAATTAATGGCACGCTCTCGCTCTAGGTGAACGGTAACAAGATAGAGACAGAAAAAAAAAGTTTTTCTCCCTATGGAATAATCAAAGTGTATTTGCTTCTGACACATTCTTTGGGGAGTTGATTCAAAGCGTTCTTTAGTAACAGAAGCCTCCCAATTGCAGCCAATCTAATTTTTCAACTGCAAATGGAAAAATCCCTAAGGATTTCAATAAGATCGTTTTATTCAAGCTCACATAGGAGGAAATACTGCCTGATACAGGCTAAAAGCAACCTCCGACAAGCAAGAAATACATACTATCTCGCTCACGTAGTGGAGCCGTCTCCTGGGCTAAGCAATGCGCTGCCAAATTTTATAAAATTAACGATTCTAGGGGAAAATAACTTTTCGGCGATGGGACTCGTTTAGGAGAAAGCACTGTGAAGTGCTGATTCCCGTTCAGTTCAGCCTAGGGTCAGTAAGATGTCCCACGGAAGGTGACATCTTGGCGCAGTCATGTGCTACAGCAGGCAAATCAGGAGAAGCAGAGAGCTAAGTTTCTTCCCAACTTTGCAAGCAAGGGGCTCCCAAGACTCCCTCCTCACCTGACCTTGACCGGGAGGGTGCGGAAGGGAAGCCTTTGGGAGAGCCGAGGATTGCGATCGTGGGAGAGGATTAAAGCGCGAGCGCCCGGGCAGAGGGAAAATTCCCAACTACCCGTGCCTGGAAGGGCTGCCCCGGCCTCGGGGGCGGTCCCCGCGCGCCGCTGCCCGGGATGTGCGGGCCTCCACCGCCCCCAACGGCAGGCGGGGCTCGGGCCCGTCCGCGGGGACCGGGGTTCCAGGCCCCCCGCCCCGGCAGCGCCCGTTAGTTCCCTCGCGCCCCGCCCGCGGGGTTCGGCCGTTGGCGGTGGCAGTTGGGCCGCTGGCTGCGGGACTTCGGCCGTTGGCGGCGCTGGCCGGCCGTTTCCTCTCCTGCCCCCGTCCCACAACGGCTACCCGTCCCGTCCCAGGGGGCTCCGGCGGGGGTGAGGGAACGACCGGACGGCGCGGGCGACTCCGCAGTAAAGTTTTCTGGCGCCCGCTACGCCGCTCCAACGGTCCCCAGGGCCCCGGGAACCCCGCCTCCCGATCCTCCCCGGGAGCTGCCGTCCCGCTCACCCATCCGTTCCCGCATCCCCCTCAGGGATGTGCTACTGCCGGCGCCGGCACGGTCCGCCATCTTCCGAGCAGCCGAGCCCGGAGCCGCTGGCGGCGCTGGGGCCCCAGTGCGCAGGCTCCGGCGCGGCCGCCGCTTCGGC